ACCAGAACCGTGCTCCGCACACCGCTCCGATGGCTCGATACTGTTCCTACCGGCCGCGTGCTCAACCGTTTCACCGCTGATTTCAACGTCATCGACAACAGGCTCGGCATGGATCTCTCTGGCGTCTTTGGCGCCTTCCTCAGCGTCATTGGAATCTGCGTCACCGCCTTCTACGTCTCGCCGCTCATCATCCCGCTAGCCTTTGTCTTGCTCCTCATTGCCGTCTGGATCGCCATGCGCTACCTCGCGGGTGCCCGACCGGCCAAGAGACTGGAGAGCACGACAAAGTCCCCCATTTTTGACCTCTTTGGTTCCACACTCGTCGGTATGATGACCATCCGCGGCTCCGACAAGGCCCAAACGTACATTGATTCCATGTACTCCCGTCTCGATGACTACGGCATGGCCTCCTGGCACCTGTGGCTCTTCAACCGCTGGATGGGCTGGCGCATGTCGCTCATTGGTGCCATGTTCTCCACCGCCGTCGGCTTCGTTGTCCTTGGCAGCCCCTCGATGGGGGCAGCCCTCGCTGGTTTCACGCTTTCCTTTGCGCTCGAGTTTTCTCAGGCCATCGTCTGGTCCATCCGCCACTACGCCAACATTGAGCTCGACATGAACGCCGCAGAGCGCGTCGTCGAGTACTCGGATCTCAAGACCGAGGACCAGGGCGGCGTCGAACCCCCCGCGACATGGCCCACTGAGGGCAAGCTCGAGGTCAAGGACCTCGTCGTGAGCTACGCCGAGGACCTCTCCCCCGTCCTCAAGGGCCTCACCTTCAGCGTCAAGAAGAACGAGCGCATCGGCGTCGTCGGTCGCACCGGAGCCGGAAAATCCTCCCTCACCCTCGCCCTATTTCGCTTCCTCGAGGCCCGCTCCGGCAGCATCTCCGTCGACGGCGTCGACATTTCCAAAATCAAGCTCCACGAGCTTCGCTCCCGCCTCGCCATCATCCCCCAGGACCCGGTCCTCTTCTCCGGCTCCGTCCGCTCCAACCTCGACCCCTTTGACAACCAGACCGACGCCGACCTCAAGGACTCGCTCCAGCGCGTGCACCTCGTCGACTCGAACCCCTCGACGCCCGGCGAACCTTCCTCCAGCGCGGCGCCCTCTGTGAATGACCAGCAAAAGAACGTCAACGTCTTCCGCAACCTGAACTCCCCCATCTCCGAGGGCGGCGGCAACCTCTCCCAGGGCCAGCGCCAGCTCCTCTGCCTCGCGCGTGCCATCGTCTCCCGTCCCAAGGTCATGGTTCTCGACGAGGCGACCTCGGCCGTCGACATGACGACCGACGCGCTAATTCAGCGGTCCATTCGCGAGGAGTTCAACGACTCGACGCTAATCGTTATTGCCCACCGCCTTAGCACGATTGCCGACTTCGACCGCATCTTGGTCCTTAGCGACGGCGCTGTCGCCGAGTACGGGAGCCCGCAGGAGCTGTGGGGTAAGGAGGGCGGTGTGTTTAGGGGTATGTGTGAGGAGAGCGGTGAGAAGGAGAAGTTGAAGAATATCATCTTTTCTTAAATTGTGTGACGCGCGTCTGTTGGAAGGCAAGATTTGAGGGTTGAGAACATTCTACAGATACTCGAGAATGAGTCGTAGAGATGCGTGATTTCTTGTTCGGTTTTGATTTGCTGTACCACTTGTTTGGCGTCTCTTATATTTTGAGATTTATGTTTTTCTTTGGTAAGGTTTTATACTACCTACCTACCTGTCCGATGAGTGAAAGAAAGAGGGAAAAGGGAGAAGAAAAAGAATGTCTGAAAAAGACGATATAAAAAGTAACGGGACTGGATCTAGAAACAAGTTCCCCCTATTTGGATGAAATATAAACCCGGATGAGAACACTCATTTTTAAGTCTCGAGTACTACGTGAAGGCATTTCTTGAAAATGAAAACCTAAAAGAAAAAAGACGAAAAAAGAAAAAGATGTGGAAAAAAAAAAAAAGAAAGAAAGAAAGAAAGGCGTGTGAGCTTGACGAGAGATGGTGGCATCGGATTTGCAAACCTTGTCTCGATTGAGATATGCAATAAGACAAGTCGGGGTACATACCCCATTCCAACGTTCATTCTAGTCACCAGCAGCACAGCAGGTGCGCATCTCGATCGGTGGTGTCAGGTTAGAGCTGTGTGGGAGGTGGTCAAGCAGTCGAATAAAACAAGTACTCTGATGAAAGTCAGAGTTAGGGTTGACTGAGAGGCGTGCTTGTTTGACTCTGTAGAGTCGCGCGAATTCATTAGGTAAGTATTTGTCCCTATCCTTCCTTTTTTGCCTTTTTCTTAGTACTATTTTTTTGCTTTTCTGATGGGGTAGCTTCTACCAGTCCAAGGCCTGACCGTTCGCTCATGATTTTATAATTACCGAGGTCTACACTTACACTTGCTCGCAGCAGTTTCCTTTTTTTTTTTTTGTCTTTTTCTCCCTCAAGCATGAGATTCATTTTCTTTTCCTACTTATGTTCCTCAGAGAATTGGCATCCAACCTCTGCTATCTATTCCGATGCCTGAATTGTGTACCGACGACAGGACCAAGACAGGCGCTGCACCAAACACAACTCATCTAATAAGAAACCTTGAATCAATTGCTTCCAGAATATCGCCCTCAATCGACTAGAATACGAACCCAACGTTGAGTTTTGATCGCGTTGAGTGCAGCGCCGACCGAAACTGAACACAACTAGCTAACCTATCCCCCCCTGTTTACCGCGCCCCGTTCCAATGAACAAGGTTCGCAGGTTTTGCAGGATCTCTATGCGCGATGCAACCGTTCAGGTTCATGTCAAGTTTCTTCGGTTCAATTAGACTTGTCGTCGGGCCAGTGTTCTCTTGGCGAGAGGACGTTGGTGTAGACTATCCCGGGGGTCCGTGACCGTGCAGACGGGAAGAAAGAAATGTCAAGTGGGGACGATGAGCTTATTCCAACTTCTTTGCAGCCCGTTTTGGCAATTTTGGTGGGCTTTGTATTCGGTACATTGCGCCTGGGCCCAGTATCTTCGCCTTGTACCTCAAAGTACCGCGCTAAAAGTCGAGAAGTACCTGGTTACATGTGTCTGTGCGGACTGGCTCCAGCAAGATGTATTACCTAAGCAGCAGACGACGTGAGAAAACGGGAAGGTTGAACGATGTTGAATGAGGAAAATGAGCTCTCGAGTTTGTTGGGGAAATTCTTTTCTTTTGCAGATATGTGACTTATTGTTGTTTATTTTTGACATGTACATTTTATAGCGCAAAGTCATGGGAAAGAAGATACTAGGACCTCTCTACGTGTAGTTCGCCGTTGGACGTTGAAGCTCTCTCGCAGGAGCGTGGTCGAGTGTTGCTGTCTGCTTTTTCCTTCTCTCCCTCTTCCTCTCTCTCTTTGAATTGACCACCTTGCATTTACAAGACAGCAATCATTGAAAAACTTCAGAAAAGGGCCAAGTGAGGAAGAGACAATGGGGTGAGCCGTCGAACAGGAACGATCATTTGACAATAGGAGGGGGGGGGGGGGTTGAGTAAGGGAATGGGGCATAGGCAGCAAGAAGGACAAAGACCACGTCGAGGGCATCCATTGCAAGGTCTTCAAGACTCAATGGAAAACTCTTATTTGAATAAATTTGCCCTTCCCTCTTTGACTGTTTCACAGACTAAGCCTGAATTGGGGGCAGATTTCCCTTTTTCTTTTTCTTTCTTGTTCTTTCATAAATCATAAGACGTATTTTTTTCGGATAGTTGTCGATACCAGGGGGGATGAACTCTGTAATTGTTGGGATCTCAGGATCTCTGCAGTCGGCAGAGAAAGATGGCTCTGGAAGGTGCCATAAGCCGCAAAAAAAGATCCTTTCAAATTTGAAGGAAATCGTAGGCTTTGCCCAATTGCTCCTCCTCCACCCATACCCATCCATATCAGCACCACTATCAATTGATCAACTTTCGTACCAATTGTACGGCTGCCCTACTAACGTATCGACGAACATCAACAGAGCTTGGGCCAATAGTCTTCCCAATGTGTATACAAATCCATGGAATCTGGGCCATCTGGAAAGATCCCCCATTTTTCACCTTGTTATGTAGAATAACGAACCAAAGAGATACTAGTGTTCTTCTTCTTCATCACCACAGTGGGGCCAGATGAGCCACACCCATCCCAACCCTGTACATTCCCAACAGTTTTTCTTTATCAAAACTCGTTGTTGAAACATCATCAACCTCTACCCAGTCCAGCTCTTCGTTCAAATTTATAGACTAAGAAATCAAGTGTGAATTGCTCCACGCCACCTCATGAGCTCAGCCAGAACTTGGAGAGTCTCTGGTGGAGAACTTGAGGAGGGTATGTCTAGCACCCCTCGTAATTTTAGTCCGGCAAAATTTCTTGGTTGGGGGGATGTTCGTCCTAACACAACACCATTTTACACAAAACGTGGCACCTGAATACGGTTCCCTTACTTCTCAACTTGAAAGGGGCTTGGTTTAATCTTTCTTTGATTAAACGTAGATGAAGGGAACTGGCAGCCCGCCATGTTGGCGAATGCAACGGGTGACGGTGCGTAAAGAATGGACAAGTTGAGGTGGAGGAATCCCAACATGGGGGCTTTTGAAATTTCGGACGGAACATGTGGGAGGATTTCCCAACGGGAAGCCACGTCAGATGGATTACATAGCATTGTAGCCACCTGATGTCTAGAAACCAAAGCTGCGAAATGAAGGTCATGTAAGCAGGGCAACTATAACACTCTGGACACGATACCTGGGATTAAGGACCTGGGACCTTGAGTCTCTTGGAAGTTTGGAACGACAGCACATCTTGAGGCAGCAAGCAAAGGCAGTAGTATTCAAGATGGAGTCATCTCAAGCGAGCATTGACATTCTGTATCATCTTAATTTGCGCCCCTTTTCCGTCTTCTCACTGATGATTTACAAGACTCAACAAGATGAGATCTCTCCGCTCGAGATATTAAGTCTTTTGCTCGGAGCAGACTGTCTGATCCCCCTCCCCCCCGGCTACTATCCACTGAGAACCAGCATCATATAATCCTCAACGTCGAGTGCCCCTTCTCCTGCATCATCATCGCAAAATCCTGCTGCTCCAGCATCCGCCCATACTCCCCCGCCAGCCTCCACCGTGAGCCCAGCCTCTCGAGGCATCGCTTGATGACATTCATCTCATCCTCGCACTCGAGCGTACCTTCCTCCCTCAGCAGCCAGGCGAGGGTATTCGCCGCGCCGTAGAGCGCGTCCAGGATCAGCGGGCTCACGCTGCCCATGTCGCTAGTGACACCGCTTTGCCCCTCATTGTGGTGGTGGTAACCACTGTTATTACTTATACCCATGTCATCATCACCATCACCACCATCCCGTTCCGTCCGCGAGACGAGAAGCAGCAGATTTTCCGACAACACAGCAACGTCCTTGCTAATCTTCAACAAGACGTCGACGGAACGCGCCTGCTGCGCCGTCTCCTCGGGGCTCTTGAGGCGGCCATCGGGACAGGCGGGGCAGCAGTAAAAGTCGTGGAGGAGGACAGCTGCTGAGAGCAGCACACACCGCGACGGTAGCAAAGGCAGAGACAGCATTTGTGGCCTCTGGACTGCCGCTGCTCCTGTCGTGGCGTGCTGCTGCTGCTGCAAGTGCTCTAGAGTCGAGAACAGCGTCTCCGACAAGGCGTTCGCCTCGGCGATGGCGTCGGCGGGCGAGGCGTGCGGGTTCTGTTTGCGGTCCGAGGTGACTTTGCGGACGTGGGTTATGATTTTGCCGGCGATGAGGGCGGAGCGGCAGAGAGAGGAGAAGGGGGAGGGTGGGGAGGGGGGTGGGGAGGTGATGTTGTGGTGGGTTGCGCGGCCGACGCGGCCCTCGTCCTGTGAATTTCTGTATTAGTCTACTACGCTCCCTTGTCAGAAACAAAGAAAATAGGGGGATATACCCATGCTGAGTCGTCTACGGGGTATGTCTCGTTGTCTTGTGGCTCGGGGGAGAGGTAGCGCTTCTTGTTGCCAAGGCAGATGATGCGATCGAGGCTGATGATGGCCCACCACGTCCGCGATCGCTCCTCCAACTCTGTCCACGTTGTCTGCTCTCAAAAGTCAACCGATTGTGTAAACGTTGCTTCAAGGAGAGAAGGCTGATACATACAGGCGACGCCAGAATAATAGTCCCCTCGTGAAACCCAGGCAGACCGAGGAAATCGGCATACCGCACGCAGGCGGCGACGGTGATCCACGCGGCCGGGTAGAGGGCGTGGGCGTACTCAAAGTAGGCGATGAGCGTCACGGACTGCAGGACCATGACCGAAGTGGCGCCGCTGTGTTCTAGCAGGGACATGAAGCGCTTGGCGGCGCGGTAGATTGCCATGTGCTGGGAACCCCCCGCGAGGACGTCTGTCGGGCAGGTGGCCACAAGCTTCATGGCGAGGAAGAGCATGGCCAGGTCCGGGCCGCCTTGACTGAGGGCGGCGCCCATGTTCATGCGCTTCTTGGAGACGATGGGGAGCCAGGTGTGGATTGTGGTGAAGTAGGCGTTTACGGCGTATTGGATTGCGTGGCCGTCGCCTAGATGTTGGAGGACTTCCTGTGAGAGATGTGTCAGGCTCGACTCGGGAGACATCGAATGAGTATGAAGCTTGCAATGAAGAGGATCTCATGAAAAGGCTCTCGTGAATGCGCTCCAGGGCAATGAGATCAGTGCATTGCTTAGCTTGACACGTACATTTGGGATGTCGATGACGGGTCTCGGGAGAGATTGGTTTAACCACTCCGTAGAAGAAAGATCAAGGAAGGCGTCTGGCGGGTACTGGGCCGAAGCCTGCTGTTCCCAGAGAGGCTCAAGGGGCGTAAAGACAGACGCAGCAGGCGGTGTCTCCTCTATGCCTCCCCCAGCGGCGGACCCCGACGCGGAATTTGAGTTGGATGCGGGACCTGGACCTGGGCCGGGTGTACCACCGCCACCGCCGACCCCGCCTGTCCCCCCCGATGATGAGGACGCGGGCGTGCATCCGTCGCCGCCACTCCCGCCGGCGGTATTAAGCCGGCCTTCGAGCTCAATGAGCTTCAGCTGCAGGGCGGCAAAGTCGTCAGCGGTCGGGGCGGCCGGCGCGGGGTCGGCATAGTCGCACCGGCGTTCCATGCGGGTGCATAGGCCGCACGCCGGGCGCGCCTTATCGCATTTGCGCTTTTGTCGCTTGCAGCTGCCGCAGGCCAGCGGAGCCTTTGCGTCTGTTGCGTAGCGGTCCCTGGGCGTGAGGAGGAGCGACATGTTGCTGTCATAAGTTGGTATTCATGGCGATTTGACGGAGCGGTGTCGGGGGCGGGTTCAGAGCGGATTCAGGCGGTTATAGCGACTGAGTGCCCTAAAGCTAACTTTGTTCAGGGGGGACTCTGCTGACGAACGCCTCTAAATTGGGTCATGCAACCTGAGGTTTCCCGAGGCGAATTAACTGCTTCAGATTGTTCTTTTCCTCAAAAGGAAATATTCTGCTGTTCATTTCTTGCTGCAATGGTTTGAAAAGCCATCAGTCCACCTTCAAAACTACCAAATTCTGGAAGGCATGTAGTTATTTTGAGCACCGGGAGTTCGGAAGCCCGACGCCGATGGACGTTGCCTTGGCCGGACTTGACGTTGAAATAGCCGAGATTACGGGGCCGATTTTCTCCGTCGCCTCATCGCCAGACTCCACCCGCCGTCACCGTGGCAGCCAGCAATGTAAACAGCCCCGTGAGGGGAAAATTGATTTAAACACGACGTTTCCGATCCAGTGGAGACAAAATCCATGGTCACAAGCGGGGCTGATCACCATCGACAATGCCTAGTGTAGTGTACCAGGTGTACCAGAACAGCTGAGCTGTCAAATAGCGCAAGTCAGGAATGGACTGAGTCCGTCCCAGATTAGGTAATCCGTCCTGAAGCAAACAGCCATGAGTCCGTGACAGCATGGATCATGTCGAACGATGGTGGGGTTGGGGATTCCCTGTCCTTGTCGATGGGAATCTCAAACCGACACCCGCTCGCCGCAGCACCCCAGGAAAGGTCCGGGATGGACCCCTGTGCTAAGCCTCAATGCCCCCCCCTTTAGCTGAGCTGGACAACGAGGCGGGCAAGCGGGCCATCACCATGGCGCAAGTAAACATGGCCCCAGTGAGTCAATTAAGGTAAACCTCTGGGAACTTTGCATTCCTCTTTCGCCTTTCAAACTTTCCTTTGTTCCAGCTTCCGTCGTCGCTTGTCTGTCGCTCAAGTCGCGGTCGCAGTCGCAATCACAATCGCTGTGTCTCTCGTTCTCCTGCCTCCCCCGCTCCTCTCCCCCCGCAAAACATGGCCGATTCCCCAAGCCGCTCCGGCAGCCTCCGAGTCCGCCGAACCCGCGGCGGGCCCTCGCGAAACTCCTCCGCACGCTCCTCGGCTGCATGGGAGGACTACTCCTACCTCCATCCCTCGGGCAGCTACCAACAGCAGCAGCTACCGCAGCATGCGCAACAACAACTCCCCCACGCCCTGCGATCGGCGTCGTCGCGATTCTCCCTCAACGAGCAGTTCGCCGCCACGCGACAAGAGTACGAGTTTGGCGACGACGACGCCTCCTCCATCCTTGAGCGCATGACGCTCGCCTCCGACGTCGGCGACGAGAGCACAATTGCCGTGAGCACGGGCGGCAGCGGCGGCGATGCGACACAAGACATTGACGGCGCCGAGGCCGGCGACTACTACGACCTGCTGTGCCTGGTCAAAGACCCGACGCTGACGCCGGACCAGATCCGGAGGGCGTACCACCGGCTGTTGCTGTATCTGCACAGGGACGGCCTGCCCGAGAACCTGCACGGCGTCGCGCAGCCATACTTCAATCAGGTGCAGAGGGGGTTCGAGACCCTGATTGACCCGTACCGACGGGCGCTGTACGACGCGAGTCGGTTGCGAGACGTGACGAATTCGCCCGACTTGCCTCTCGACGAGGACTACCGATATGCCTATGATATGTCGCTCAAAGAGCAGCTGCGGCAGCGGGCGGCTGAGGTGGTGCAGACGTCGTCGGATCTGGGCATCCGGTTCGACGCGTCCCAGGCGCTGCGGCGGGGGTCTGCTGTCACGCCCCTCGACTTTACTCTGAGTCACTCCGTGACCGTAGGTCTGCCGATGCTGGGGCGATGGATTGAGAGGACGGCGGCACCGAAGGCGCAGCGCGTCTCGTCGGTGTCGAAACGAGTGCCTTCGATTGCGCTCAATGAGAGCGACGAAGCTGGTGTTGACCAGCCCCGGGAATCCATGATTTACCTACCGCCCCCACAAGTGACGTTGACCGGATCTGTTTATGGCATCGTGGAGGAGATATACCGGGTCCCGTTGCCAATTTTGGCGGATCGATACCAACCGTTACTACCTCTGACTATACCCCGGAAACGCATCATCCAGCTGGCAGAGCAGCGCCCGTGTCCCCTCGTCAGCCTCAAATTCCAACAGGACATCATCCACCGGACGGCCGAAGACCGCATCGCAAAGACATCGATTGAAGTAGAAACCGAAGCACTCCCAGAGGCATCGCTAACAGCCAAAATCTCACACCCAATCCACCTACCAAACGCCCCTGATCCGATCCTCCTCGAGGGAAGCATAAAGTCAGGGCGACCATGGACGCAATCCGCCCCGCGCGTTGGCCTAGGGATCCACCGCTGGATGGGCGCCGGCACCGCGTACGCAATCGCAGACAGCGGCGACTGGAGCGTCTGGCCCGGCGAGACCATCAAGCTCTTCACAGATTTCTCGCAAGTGAGCAAGAACCAGCTCCTCGCCGAGTTCCCAATGAAAACGTCCGCGAGCTTCGAAGTGGGCTACACCACGTCGCCCGAGCGCGTCCCGTCCACGGCCCACGAGGATTCCCCGCGCGGGGAGTGCGGCATCCGGGGGCTAGACCACGAAGCGACGATCACTAACGACGGCTCGTGGACCGTCTCCACCTCTTTGACGGCAGACGCTATCGGCGGCTACCTCCGCTACGGCAAAGACATGCCAGCGCTCTCGGCATCTAGCTCCACCGTCCCGACCAGACTCGAACTCGAACTCTGCACAAACACCCTCCTCGACCGCCACCTTGCCGTCCGCAACCTCTGGCCCGTAGGCCGCTTCTCCAAACTCGGGCTCGAGCTCGGCGTCAGCCTGCACAGCCTCCACCTCTCCCTCTACTGGTCCCGCCTCAGCCAGCGTCTCAGCATCCCGCTCCTCCTTTCCCCGCGCGCCGACTACACCCCGTCCGTCTTCTTCTACGCGGCCGCCGTGCCTTTACTGGCGTTCGCCGCGCGTCACTTTTTGTCTTTTTCCTCGAAACCAAAACGCGCTCGCGGGGCCCACTTTGGTGAGGTGGATTTACAGGCCTATGTCGCGCGTAAACGGGCCGCGGCGGATGATATCGCCGTCGTGCTCTCCGGAGCCGTGGAGGCGCGGCAGCGCGTGGAGCGGCAGCGGGGCGGGCTTGTCATTCTCAGCGCGAAATTTGGCGTCAGGGGTGAAGGTCAGGCCGGCGACGGGGAGGACGAGGGCGATGGCGATGGCGACCCAGACTGCTGGGCCGCGGAAGAAGTCGCAGACGTCACCGTCGCAGTAGCAGCGCTGGTGGAGGACGGGAGGCTGCGGATCCCGGCCGGGGTGAGAAAGGCCTCGCTGTTGGGGTTCTGGGATCCGGCTCCCTTGCGGCGGAAAGCGCTCCACGTGAGGTATCTGTGGCGCGGGAGGGAGAGCACGGTCGAGGTCGCGGGGCGGGATGAGCTGGTTCTCCCACCCGCAAAGAGGGATTTGTCGTGATGAATAACATTTGTGCGGACAGTTTTGATGGATAGATGTAGGTACCATATGTATGATGGCATGTGCGAGGTGATCGATGCAGCATTAGTGGAGTCGGGGAAAATAGGGGAAATCTCAATGGGCGCGGTTTTTGCATGGGATGGTGTTTTTTTGAAGATTTGTACCACACCTTTGACCATCGTCCACTCGGAGATGAACTATTAGTATTTGATTGAGGGAAAAAAGGGAGCTTCCTTTGGGATAGAGCCTCTAGGATGAACAAAGCCGAGATGCACCGTAAGCGGAGTAAACTACTGCCTCGGATCTCATCATTAGCATTGAAAACACATCTCAATATGAGAGGAGCGAATCCCATTCCTTCAACTTTGTCTCATGGTGAATTGAGAAAGAAAATGAGGCGATTGTCGCAGTCTTTCTGTGTTCGTTGTCTGGATAGCTCCGGATTTTCCGCAAAGGACGGAATACTTTTCGGATTACGGACACTTAAACATCCGTTCGCGAAAGCGCACTAATTACTCTGTAGCTCATTTACGGGACCCCACACTGGGCAGCCTCACACACTTTCGGACGAACGTCTCGGAACGCGATCAAGCCTCGATCAATGCAGAAGCTCCCGTCATAGCTGCAGCTGCACCTAGGGTACGCACGCATAGGTTGCAATAGAGGAGATTGTAACATGATGCTATGCATGGCAGATGGGTAGCAGGAAGTAAAACCCCTAGACCTTGCTCGCTTAGGCTTTCACGAATTGGGACCCAGTGGTCAGAGTCGTCAACTGAGCGAGTCAAGTTACCAATCAACCTAAGTTCCCGCATGTCACCATTCATCGGTCGCGCCGCCAATTAAGGTTTCTCTAGCTTCTTATGTAATTCCCGGCCCGGTGGTAGTTGGCGCCGGATATAGTCCTATGCTGTTTCGTCTATAGCAACGCCAGAAAGCTTGCAATTCCAAGAAAGTGGGAATCTATCTCGCACTCGAAAGTTTAAATTGTTCTCTCCGAGCTTTCGTATCGCGTCGCATCTGAACGACGATTTTTGAACCGTCTTTTGGTCTGGCTATTATGCTCAATTGCTGGTAGACTGAAGAACTACAACGAATAGCAGTTCATATCAATTGCCAATTGACATTGATTCATATGCGCCTTGTCCCAAAATCGGCTCTTATTATCTCCTTATTGTCGCCTTAGCTCACTTTCATCGGCAACCAGATCTTCCCTTGAATTTCGGAGTCAGCGGCCCAGACAACGTCCCACCAAGGTCCGCAATGACTCGCTCTTGACATTGAGGGCACTCACTTAATTTGCAACACTTTCAGAAGCGCACGACTAATCCATCCCGAATCTGCAGAGCAATAAGCCTCGCAATTGAATGCAGCAAAGATCGCCATCAACACTGTAGTCTCGATTCTCAATCGTATATATACCACCATACTTGACAACTCATCCCACCGGCTCTTCACTACACTCTTTACCCCATCTTTCTCTTTCACAACCCAACTAACTACGTTCCACTCTTTTTATCCACTCTTTTCGAACCTAAAAAATTCACAATGCTCCAATCATCATTCGCCGTCGCCTTCCTGGCCCTCGCCGCTATCCCCGGCACCCTTGCCGGCTGGAACGGTCACGCCACGACCCCGGCCACAAAGTGCTACAGGAACGAGATCTCGGGCTGCAAATCCGGACGTTGCCTCAACGGGTATGAAAACGACAAGTCCCCAAACCATAGCTCTTCTACCTACGTCAATGTTATCTGTCGCTCAGTCTCGCTAACCTTTTGCTACCTCTCAATAGCAACTGCGTCCGAAGCTGCGCCGCCGGGGAAGAGCAGGGCTGCCCTACTCTCTGCAAGAAGCTTACCATGCCGGAGGGCTGGTGTGCGGCAAAGTAAGTTTGCTACAGTGTGCGAAGTGCACGCGGGGCTTCTTCTGCGTGACTGCGTCCGACCTTTTTTTTTTTTTTATAAGAATCGAAGAAAAGTTCGACAAGGCTAATGTGCTTTTTTTCTCTGCTCTTCAGCAACTCTGGTGCTTGCTGGTGCACCCGCGATAACACCAAGAGCTTCATCGACGCCGATCGCCCTATTGATGATAAGAGAGATGAAATCAAGACCTACCGCGAGACCAAGGCTTGATGGTACGATGCGATGGTTGATTCGTGGTGACTGGGGTGAGAAGTCTCCAACTGGGATGGAGGGTGCCGAATTGCGCACCTTTGGCTAGGGTTGGGGTGTGGGTTTTCGGAGGCAAGCGTCCATGCTCGTTTTTGAGAAACTCGACAAAAGAAAAAATGAAGACGGGAAAAGCAACGGCGCTGGTGGGGACTACCTTGGTGACCCATATCTTCCAATCACAGTCCCGTGTAGGATTAGTAATATATTATTCAGCCAGGGACATCCAAAACACTGCACTCCATCAAAGATTTTGCGTTAGAAAAAAACCTACAACGCTCCAAAGGAGCCAGGGTACGTACGTATCTTCTCCGGCGCAGCTACAACGTCCAATTGTCGCAATTTTGATTGGCCAACTATAATTCTGATATTCCTACGGATATACCAAAGCACATTAAGGTACAAAGTATAAACAGACGGTCAAAGTTCGGAATACACTACATAGGAAAAAACATGTAGACAAGAATAGTTGCAGACACCCAGCAAACACGCACAATCAAACCTCCTGCAACGTAGTCGCCCCAATAGCCGCACCGCTCTTGGGAATCAGAAAGCTACTACCCACAACTTTCCCATCCGCGCCCCTAGGCCCCTTCAAAACCGAAGCGTCAACACTGACAAAAGACGCATTCGTCCACGTCGTCCCATCATTCCACGAATTCCCCGCCGCCGTGATAGTACCCACAAGACTCACCTGCGCGGCTCCTCCGGCTCCATTCACAGCCGCGACATTCCCCCGCATAACCGAAGACGAACTCCGCATCAAGAACCCGGTGTCCCCATTATTCCACGCCGAATTCCTCTCGAACGTCAAACTCCCCGGGTTCCCATTATCAATGAACCCCTTTTTCCAATTCCCAAACGCAATACAATTCCTGACAACATGATCCGCCACAGGGTTCCCCGTAATCCCCAACTTGAACCCATTTCCATCCCCTTCAAACGGGCTAAACCCCCACCGGTTATACCCGTTGCCCCACGCGTACACCTCCTCCAGTAACACCGAAGATCCAAACATGAAGAGGTCGAGCCCGTCGTCGACGTTATCCCACAACCTGGCGTTGCGCAGGACGTTGCCCTCGCCCGATCCGGACTTGCACGCGAAGCCGTCTGCGCTCTCGCCGTTTTTACGCGGGTCGCGGTTGCGGTAGGAGTCGAGGTTCGTGACTGTGTTGTTGGACGAGGCGCCCTCGAGCTGGAAGCCCGTTTCGTAGTTGTCGTGGGTGGAGAGGTTTGTGTAGGTGTTGTGGGAGGCGTCGCGGGCATAGATCCCGTAGGGCCCGTTGATGAGCCTTGGTTCAGGTTAGCTGTGATGGTGTGTGTGTGTGTGTGTGTGGTTTGTGAGGATGTAGCATGTAGCTGGGGGGGTTTTCAACTTACTCTAAATCGTAGAATGCCCAGTAATTCGCATTCTGGATGTGAAAGATGCCGCGCTCGGAATTAGGCAAGGCTTCATCCAGCGCCTTTGGAGTTCTAGTGAAGGGTTGGAATAACCCCCCCCCCTGTCAGCCCCCACATTCTCTTTCTCCACAGACACACCGTAACACTTGGAAACAAGGTCCTCCTCACCCCGGCATATTCTCCCCATCAATAACAACCTTCTCCCCCGGATACGCCCTCACACGAATAGGCAGCGTCCGCGTCCCGCTCTTTGCAAATTGAATATTCGCCGTCGGCGCGTACGTGCCCCCGCGGAGGAAAATCGTGTCGCCCGCGACGGCGGCGCCGACGGCCGATTGGATGGAGCCGTACGGCGCCTCGAGGGTCCCCGTGCCTTTGCTCGCCCCTGTGGGAGAGACGAAGATGTCGCGGGCGGCTACGTGGTGTGCGCTGCTGATGAGGAGGAGTAGCGTGAGGAGCGCGCGCGGCGGCGGATCCATCTTGGAAAAGGGAGGGGAGTATGACTCTTGGTGGGATTGGTTCGATAACACGAGGTTTTTGGGAATGAAGAAAACGGGTAGCTTGTTTTTTTATTTTTTTACGTTAATGGTTCCTCTAGTACATCCAAGGACCTTTTTATGAACTCAAATTTTGCCAAGAAAAGCAGTCATTGATTGTAAACCAACTTGGCCCTGGAAAGCCGCTTCGGCCTTTGTTTCTCAATTACAACGACTTTCATAAAGTTGCGTGACGTGCAAGTACCAATATCCGTACCTCATCCCCAAAATGTAACCATGTCGTTCCAAGAAATCAGAAAAAGAAACATAGAAATTCCCCCCAATCACGGGTCCTTGTCTCCACCGAATCGGGAAAGAGTGCCATTTCTCCCGTGTCCGTCCCCACCACCTGCCCGGAAGAAAACGATCCCGCAAATAAAATAAACTCGGACCAAATTTCATCTTTTTTTGTTTTTCGAATTGGATTCTTTTCGATTTTGATTTACTGTGTACATCAATGGGAACGGACATGTCTTGCTTCCGTTCATCCTTGAGTAGCCCTTCTATCCCATTTCTCCCTCCCTGGGCCCGCTCCACCACACCTCCTTTCTCTCATGAATAAGGCGAAGCAAAACCTTCAAGTAGAAGCCCACGTATCCCAATTCTCCGCGCTAAAATCAGGCCAATACAACGCCTGCAAGTCATCATAAAACGACGCCTCCAAAAATTGCAGATCCAGCACCGGCTGCGCGAGGAGCTCCTCCAACGAAGGCTCCGTCAGCGCCATCCCCGCCGTCGTGGGTCCCGCCCCCGGCCGGACTGGAAGTCCACCTGGACCGAATTGCGACGACATTAGCGGGCCAGATTCGGGTTCGGGCCCGGGTCCGTGCGATGGCGATAGCACCCCGCCATATGAAGATGAAGAGGAAACTTGGGGCTGCGTCTGCGCCTGCTCAGCATCCACCCTCCCCATCCGCTTCGCATAAAACCTATCAAGCTCAGCCCTCATCTCGTCCACGTGGTGACAGTACTCCATTGCAGCAAAGTTCCCCGCGTCGCGCAGCTGCGAGAGGAACCTGACCGATTCCTCAAAGGCCTCTTTATCGTCGTTGGGCGCTCCCGTCCCCGCCCCAGGCCCGTTACCATCCTGAAGGAGACTCGAGGCGGCGAGAATCGTTAGTGCGGAAAAAAGGTACTGTGTGTAGAAATAGTCAAACGTCGCAAAGGATCCGTCGATCCACGATTCGGTTAGCAAGCGAATCGAGTGGCGCGCGCAGCGGATGCAGGCCTCCGATAGCGTGATGGCGCTCGCGGGGACCTGCTGAGTCTCTGGGGTCGTGGTTGTAGATGGCCACGAAGCGACTTTTGTTCGTAGGATGTGGAGTAGAATTGGGCGGGTTGCTAAAATTGCGCACTTGAAGAAGAACATGTTAATAACGACTTGTCTTTTCAAGTGTGCGTGTGTGCGGAATCATAATACCTGATTAAAAGACAAATGCAGCGAAATAGGCTTCGGCCCGGTCCCAGCATTATCAAGCTGCAAATGGGCAGGCAAATCCTCCACCCAGGCCCTGAGGTCCTTGAGCGCCTGCTGCACCCTCGTCGACAGCGTCGTCGCCTCGCCTTGGCTGCGCTGGCCGTAGATGGAGCGCACCGTCTTGGTGATGAGGGCCGCCAGCCGCAGGCTCGCCACGTGATACGCGGTATCCTCAAAGTCGGCCGCGTGCGTCCGCACCACTGCCGTCCCATCATCCGCCGCCTCGGAGGGCAGGTCGACGCCGACGTCGCTGTCCTGGATGGCGGTAGGGTGGCCGAGCTTGGAGGCCCAGATGCGGTCAAAGATGTACGTCGTCCAAAACAGGCGCTTGCGGTGCTCACGCAGGTCCGGGTCGCGCAGCTGAGACTCGGGGATGTTGAGGTGCAGACCCATGACGATGGCCATGCGCATCGCGGTGCCGGACATTACAAAGGCGCTGTAGCGGCGGTTCAGGGCCAACGAGTAGAACGAAAGAAGCAGCATGATCTCGATCGAGTCCGTGCCGGGCCGCTCGTCGAGCACACCCAACACGCGCGAGGCTTTTGCAAAATACGGCATGCCGGGGAAGTCCTTTTCCGAGGGGATGGACCTTGTCGAGTAGAGCTCGCCGATGGCGAAGAGGGCCCACAGCTTGGAGCGGAGCATGAGGTCGCCCCAGGAGGGGTTGTGGATGCTCTGCTCGAGGTCGCGCATGACGGCGCTGCGGCGGACGACGTGGTACCGGCGGGCGACATACTTGAGAGCCACCTCGACGAGGAAGCGGGAGCGCGAGGGCGTGGGCCAGGCGACGTCGGAAGACTTGACGAGGGCCATGAGCTCGGCGTCGGGGGCGTAGTTGACGCGGAGCATGTGGCGGGGTTGCGGCGCGTAGGGGTCCGAGATGACCTGGCGGAAGCGGGTGGAGAAGGCGGCGTCGGCGACCTCGCCGATGAGGATCGGGGTGCGGAAGACGTTGGCGTTGATGAACCACGGTCGGACTTCGAGTGTTGCCGTTGCTGGCGCTGTGGCCCCGGCTGCTGCTACTGCATCCTCTGCCGCCGCTGCCACTGTCAAGGGCTCTTCATTATCGCCTAGATTGGCGGACGTTGGCGTTGATAGTGCCTCTCTGTTGCCAGTGTAACTGGTGTTCTGAGATGGTGTTGCTGTCGTAGTCGTGGTTGATATCACATCATCTAACGGCGCACATGTGGAGGTTGAAGCGCTCTGAGAGGCAACCTGGCTCTTGAGACGACGGATCTCGTCCAGAAGACCGTCAATATAACTGTGTTTTCACAAACCATTCGGCATGAGCTCATCATATCCCGTGGTTCATAGTAGAGAAAGGAAGAAAAAAAGAAAAGGAAAGCAAGAAACTGTGTGTATTGTGTAGTTGCATGGCTCTCGGTCAAATGTAAAGTACCTTTGTCTGACCTTGACCTGTCTATTGCGGCGCGGGTAAGTGCACTCGGCACCTTTCCCGGCATGCCGACAATTCTGGCAGGGCTGGTCGCCGGAGCACTTCACCTTTCGCGAATGGCATCGGCGGCACGCGGTTGACTTGATGGGCGGAAGAGGCCCGTCGTCAAATGGGCTTCTCCGGGCCTCCGTCGTGCTGTTGGGTGGGTGGCTGTTGCGAGCCGCCATGGCGGGAAGGGCATTTCTCGCGGATATGGGTACCTGACAGAGGAGAGAAGAGGTGGTGAAAGAGAAAAAAGTAAAGGCCAGAGACAAAGAAAGACAAGAAAGAAAGTGATCAGGTCAAGTCCGATGTGTCTCTTCGAAAGTGTTGCCCCATGGTTGATTTCCCGCCAACATACGCATACGCGTGCCTATTACCTTCCCTTACTGTCAGGAACATTGCAAGTATGTGTCAGAGGGCTCTCTCTCTTTCACACCGATGACGGCGAAATGTCAGGATGCCGAGGTGACCCGGCTTGTCAGTTTTGTTGCTTTGTCAGATTTCACAATGCACCGGCAGCTGGCAGCGGCCCGAGCTTTCCTCTCTCTCCGGTCTCGTCGGCAAATCGATATTTTGCCGAAAGATGACTCATCCCTGAGATTAGGTAATCGCCAACACTCTTTTTCGTCTTCCACTGTTGCTTCGTCAAGGACGAGGTGAAAGTCTCACATGAATACCGTGAGAGTCTCTGGGCGTTTAGCTAATTCTATATCAGCATAATCAATGGCGAGATTGACGGTAATTTAGACGCAGAGACCACGCCATGACCTTAGACGAAACCCTCAATTTTTGCTCATACAACGACGAGAATCGTATCATGCACATGGAGATCAATTGCCCAGACCCCATGAGTCGCGTCTCGAATCCCTCCTTCTAACTCTTTCATACGTCCATCTTGTGGTCCCCGTCGATGTGGATCATGTTTATTGATGGTCGCAGACTGCTTTTCGAGGTGAAAAGCTCACAATACTTGATGCATTCAGACTACGGACCAAGTCTCGGAAATGGGGGCAACGTCGACCTTGAACGCTAGAGATCCAATAATCCCAATCATGATTGCGACTAAATAACCTCTCTTCTTCATGTCGGTTTGCGCTACATTTAGTTTCAAAAAATAGTGGGAGACGTAACTATTCCCAAAGAAAAGAGAAAAGAGAAAAGAGAAAAGAGAGAAGAAGAAGAAGAAGAAGAAGAAGAAGAAGAAGAAGAAGTAGAAGAACCCGAATCGCGATGAAGCCAAACTTACGCACGCCCGGGAGGTGTCCCACTTATTCCGACTTTTTGACCAATCGACATTAAGTACCACCGGGCTCCAGTTTTCCGGCCGCTCCGCTCCGGCGTCAATTGTTCTGTCGCCGATTTCTCTGCCCAAATTGTGAGTATTATTATTTTCTTTATAGCACAGGAGCAGATGCTCATTGTCGTATTGGGAAAGGGGAGGAGAGGCGTCAAGTCCTCGGTCTCGAAGGAAACTAAGCCATGACGTTGCCTCACGTCGTGTAGTCATTCAGCCACACCACGCAACCTACGTATTTCAGTTTTCTGCTGGGGACATTCCTGAACTCTTTCAAATTGACTTAATTTTTCAATTCACCGTACTTCGTAACCCTAAAAATCAAGTCAGAGAGTCAAGTTTTTTTTTTACCAATCACCCTCGGGAATTGGATTCCGCGTAGACCTCCGTCGCTCGTTAGTCAGCCCACGCACCACACACAGCTACATCACCACGAGCAACATCATTCTCCAAGCCAGCATACTGGGTTGGAAGTAAGATCTATATAATAGACACCCTATCTCACCTTCAGTCTATGTTCTGATGACCAGAAACATCATTTCAAAGTTGACAAAACGAACAAAACCACCACAAGAAAATGGCACACGCACTCATCCTCGGCGCCTCGGGCATCTCAGGCTGGTCCCTCCTCAACCAGGCCCGGACCTACCCCACGCCCACGACTTTCGCCCGCATCACCGGCACCACGAACCGCCCTCTGACCCTCGAGCAGGCGCGGCTGCCTGCGGACGACTCGCGACTGACTCTCGTTTCCGGGATCGACTTCACGAGGGCTGTAGATGAGGTCGCGGCGGCACTGAGAGACAAGGTTCCTGACGTGGAGACTGTTTCTCACGTCTTTTACACGGGTAAGGTATTCAAGCAGCAGAAAAAACTTACATTCTCTAAAGAAAAAGTGAAAATGTAATGTTTGGAAAAAATGTGGATTTTATTTTTTTGGCTAACAGCGTCGGGCGGGTTGATATAGCGTACATTGATGCGGACGATTCCAAGGGACAAGCGGCAGCCAACACGGAGTTACTCTCCGTCGCTATCAGGGCCATCGAAAAGGTGTCGCCGCGCCTCGCCTTCGTCGTCCTGCAGACGGGCGGAAAGGGGTACGGCCTCATGTACCCGGACAAAGTCGCGCTGCGCACCCCGCTCCGCGAAGACAGCCCGCGGATCCCGCGGCCGTGGGCCGACGAGGTGTTTTACTACGCGCAGCACGACCTGCTGCGCGACCTGTCGCGGGGGAAAAACTGGACGTTTTCCGAGATTCGGCCGGACGTGATTGTGGGGTTCGCGCCGACGTCGAACGCGATGAATATGGCGAGGGGCATTGGTATTTATTTGTCTGTTTGGCGGTATGTTTTTGGTGCTGGGGCCGGGAGCCGGGGTCCTGGAGGCCGAGTGGAGGTACCGTTCCCGGGGTCCTTGCGGAGTTACCGCGCCACGCACACGGATACAAACCAGGACGTGCTCTCCAAGATGGAGATTTTTGCGGCGGTGGTGAATCCCGAGGGATGCGGCGGGGGAAGAGCGTTTAACGTCGCGGACGGCGGGGCGGTGACTTCGTGGTCGCAGGTGTGGCCTCGGTTGTGCGAGCGCTTTGGTCTCGTCGGGGTGGCACCTCCTTCTCCTCCTCCTCCTCCTCCTCCTCCTCCTCCTCCGTTCTCCTCTGACGCCGAGGCCGACGGCTCGGGTAACACCGCGTCCGGATCTACTACCCCGCCGCCGCCGCCGCCGCCGCCGTCGATGAAGGACTTTATCGCGAAACATGACGACGCGTGGGTCGCGTTGGCGCAGGAGCACGGGCTGGATGAGGGCGCTGCTAGGGAGTACAACTGGGATTTCCTGCATGTGATGCTGGTGGAGTGCGACTTTGATCGCGAGTACGATCTCACGCGGGCGCGCGAGGTCGGGTTCGAGGAGGGGGTTGATACGGTGGAGGGGTATTTTGCTGCGTGGGAGCGGATGAGCAGTGCGAAGCAGTTGCCGTCGTTTTGATATCGGGTGTAGGCAATGTTGTGAGGTGGACATGGCATGGAGTCATGGAGTGCGTCGCCCGTGTTGGTGTCGAGATGACGACGGATTGTGTGGTGGCGACAGGGGTTGGACTGCGGCGACAGCACCACGTCAGGTAGAAAACATGTCACGTTTATGGAAGCGAGATTGTGTAATGGGAATCAAACATCAGAAAATGGTCAGTACAATGTATTGTCTTTGCGAGTTGTGTTTGCAGTCATTGGGTGGTGTGACGAGGTGGACGAGGTGTGCGTCGTCGTGTTGAGTCGGGTCGAGTCGATGGAGTGTCTGGAGGGGAGGTGATGGGGAGATGCCGGATTGGAATGCGACATGGCCACCAGGTCCACCACAACAGGAATTAGTTGAACTATGTCGCGTTTTGAATGCGAGAAGATGCAAAAAGCAATTACCCAATTACACCAAATCATTCAATGGTGCGATGCTGTACTTTTCGGGTTGTGATTGCGGTCTCGCTGAGTGGTGCAGTGGTGATGGCGGGTTGGGGGTCGGGGTCGACTGTTGACCACCGCGATGGTCGACGTGTTGGCCGACTTGACCGACTCGGCAAGACGACGCGGAGTGACCCAACCCGACCTGACTCGGTTCCGCAGTTCATCGGCCCCCCCTGCCTGGCGACTTTCATGGCCGAGGCACTTGTGCGAGGTGCTGTGTGGTGCCCTGTAGTGCTTCGCAACTGCTGGGCCCGGTTGTAAGACAGCCGAGTCGGGACGTGACCTTCTCCTCTCCGTTCGGGACGAAGCACCCGACACAGACCCGAGGCAATCTTACTCGGGCGGGGGGCGGCAGGATGGACGAAAAACCCTGTGAGCCGGAAAATTAAAGTTGTGCAATGCGCTCAAGGTAGCACTGCGAAATAAGACACGTCATGCATGTCGAGAGATGGCTGGGCAATGTCGAGTGTGTGAATCGGTCGCAGTCGACGATGTCCGTGGCTATCGGGTCGGGACTTGGGTGACGGTGTTGGTGTCCGCAGTTGAAGGGCCCAGGGGAGGGCGGGAACTCATTTTAAGGTGGCGCCCGTGCTCTGTGTCCCTTGCAAAGTACAGTGTACTTTTGCAAGTCGACGGTACTTTGCGCCACTAAACCAACCCACTGGGAACGCAAAACTGCGGGTCCGGTGGAAGCGCCAATGCAGCGACGTACGGATACCCAACTTTATTTCAACGTTGTAAGGGGTCACCCAGACAATCTTTAATCTAGAGTCATCCAGAGAGATAGAGACCATGTTGAGAAGGTCCTTGGAGCTGAAGGAGTTCTCTGAGCAGTGGTATCGAGGCGAGTTGGCTCTGGTAGAGATCTACCAGACTCTGCACGACGCTCATTGTGACTTCCCCCGTCTCAAGCAACGTTTGTAGCTCCCAAATCATGTGGTTGAGACCCTCGATCCGGGGCGGCTTCGTGAGCGGAGGGGACTGGCTTCGATACGAGGGCGTGAGGGCGGGCTGTGGCGGTCGTAAGGAAGTGGTCGAAGCTATCGAGATTGAAAAATGAAGAGGTTAGCCTCCTGCAAAGAAGAAGAAGAAGAAGAAGAAACCGTGCAAAGGTTTGCACGTCATCCTGTCACTTGCTAGAAACCAAAGAACTTACCTGCTGGGGAAGGAGTGTATAGTCGTTGTCTCTGAGCGAGAGGCTGGCCAGGATCCGAGGCGGAATCCGGCCTTTGACGCTTAGTTTTGCCCTTCTTGAAAAGCTTTCCAACTAATCCGGCCATCTTCTCTAGTTTAGTGTCTTGTGTCAAAAAGATGTGTAGAGTAAAAGTAGTGCTCTTGTCAACGAGCGAGTGACGCAAAAGATTTGAACAAAGTGGAAGAGAAGAAGGGGGATAAAGGCCGAGGCCCAGAAATCCTCCAGAAGGGGTTATGTAACTGGAATGCCTTTTCTGCCGACTACCTACTCAGAATCCAATACCATGGTTCCCTTGATCGTAGAGGGCCAAAAGATTGGTAAGGGTAACTGCCCTATCACCTTGCCTCCCTGCCAACCAGCGGCGATGTCGTGATGATGACAGATTGTGCGAGAATTTGCCAATTGGATCCGATGCGGGAAAGCTGTACTGAGCAATCTCAGTCCCCATCCTTGCAAGTTGCAAGAGAAGAGAACCGAAAGTAGCAAGACAATCCGCACCGAAGACGGGGGGAGGCGTTCGGCTTTCCGGAAGGTCTGACCTTCCGAAGATTCATTATCGTGCCGTTGCTGCATACTTCGGAAATTAGAGAAAAATACGGAGGGGGAAAGAGTCAGAGAGAGAGAGAGAGAGAGAGAGAGAGAGAGTCACGGGTACTCTGAGAGAAAGTACCGCCATTACGTACAATGTCCGTGGAGGTTTGAAAAGACAGAGAAGTAAGGACCAGGGCCCGGGACTGAAAGAGGTAGCTTTTGTTGCCCAATGTAACAGGGCAAAGTCCGTAGGTCCCAAGAATCGTCGTCGTTGTCGGGGTTGCGGCGATTGAGTGAAAAAAAAAAATCTCTCTCTGAAATGAGATGCATACTCCGTAGATGGCTCAATAATCACGGTTGGTATGGGGCAACGCGCTGAAACTTTGAGGAGACTCTGGCTTCAGGGCTCGGGGCACCTCAGCCTGGCCCCCTTGTGGGTAATGATAAGGGATCCATGGAGTTTGGAATTACCTTATGGTCCGCGGGTAAGGTATGGAGGGAGTGGTGAATCATGACGGTGCAGCGGAAATCACCGTGTCTAAGGTACGGATAGCGTCCAAAGTTCAGACCCAAAGACCAAAAAGACCTACCTGGTGAAAGCGCGACACTGTGGCTGTGACTGGGGAGACTTGTCACCTGACGACCTGCCTCTGCAAGACTCCATGCATTCAACGGCCTGTCCCTATTCGAAGAAAGGCAAGGGCCCTGGACGCAGAGGGTACGGAGTAAGGTATGGTCTACCTGAGGTAAGGTATCTTATGCATGAGAGGGGTCCAGGGGAGGCTAAACTCAAATACCTCGGTTGCTAGATTGTTGGTTTGCCAATCGTGTGGTGCTTGGGCAGAATTGGGGAGCTCCGTCTTGTGTAAGGTAGATCAGTTACGTTGTCAGACCTTTCATCCATTGTCAGACCCTTTCACCGGGATTGTTTCCCAGGCCCAGAGGCCGGGACCGGGCTAATGATTGTCTGGATCGTGGCCTGCCGCCTGTGTCGCGGTCCGTGGATCAATATCATGCATGTCCGCAAGTGGTATCCGTACACTATCGAAAAATATAATCATGTCAGAAGAAGTAGGAAGTGGGGAGCGCACGACGGGCGCGCCACGCGTGACGCCGGACTGAACTATCCTCCTCCAGAGTCAGAAGTGTGTTACTGGCTCAATACGAGGAACTCCATATCCGCACCTTGCAATCGCGCCATAGAGCATCAGCTGATCTGTCGAAACCTTGTGTTGCTTATCATGGGACCCTGACGACGACGACGACGACGATTCGAGGGTGTTGACCAATGGCTAACTGGACTTTATCTCGCTGTATCATCTACGATCTGCGTGGTGGGAAATGAAAAGGACAAGATCCAACTCCGAACCTTCTTCTGTCTGCCGAGCTACCCCGTTCCAAGGTGACCTTTGGCGGCCCCTGCGGTGGCCTAGGGGTACCTACCTACCTAGCCAAGATACTCCGTAAACTCCGGTCTCTCTCTCTCTCTCTCTCTCTCTCTCTCTCCTTATCAATCGCCGTCGATTCCGACTTTTAGTTTTGCATTACATTCTACATGTCACCCACCTTCATCGCTCCCAACTCCATTGCTCCATTCCATCACCCTCTTTCCAAAATCTACCTTGACCGAACATCGAAGAACCGTTTTGCACCTTGGCTTTGCTTTTGATTTTTCTTCTTCTCTGTTCTTTTTCTTTTTCTGCGGGGTGGTTCTCTTCCCGCCCGTGACCTTATACTTCAAAGATGCCAACCATTGCGTTGGTTCTGAAGTGTAGGCCATGGGTGCCAGCTCTAGTTGCTTGAACGGCGAGATTGAAGGAGCCCTCGTCATCTGGCAGGTTAATCTAAAATGTAGCAAAAACAGGGCGAAATATCTTGTCAACCTTACCAAAAACAAGTACCCGAATGAACCACCTCATGTCATTGCCATTCAAGATCCTCCAATGGATCTTCCATGGATTTCCACCGGGAACTACAAACCCGTGTATCGAACAGCTCGAACGCTACGCGAGGAAGACCATCCATACATACCGTGTAAGCCAAACAAGAAGGCCAAAAACGAGCCTCGACAGCTCGTGGATCTTGATCCAGTGGCCTTCTTGGTGTTGGACACAATTCCTGTCGGACACTGGCATCCAGTTTTTCACGAGGACCTAGACACCGACCCCCAGGACTTCCAGGACCGCCTTGACCGCCTCGACCCCCCGACGCCGCGACACAAAGACGCCTTTGCTGCGACATTGGCTCTTTCAACCTTGGCTGGTCCCATAAACATTCACAACGTTTACAATCGCCAGACCAAGATCAATATTGACAGGCTTTTGGCCACGTGCACCTCGGGCCAGGACAACCTCCTCCTCGGCGATTTCAACCTACACCACCCCCCGCTGGTCCCGTACCCCCTTAGTCGGACCTATAATTTCTGATGCCCGGAGTCTGTTCCACGGGACTGAACAGGCCGGAATGGAGTGTATCACTGAACCTGGAGCCATGACGTACAGCCGAGGCAAAGACACGGGAAAAAACACCTCGACCATCGACCTGACTTTTCTCAGCCAAAGTTTACTGCATCGTTTTACGGATTGGAGCATTTTGGAAGGGCGAAACTTCAAGTGAGATCATCGAATCATTCAGACCATTCTACTCATGGAGCCCGATCGAACCTCCAGCGATCGCTACCTCTGGGGCAAAGCTGACGTTGCCGGGTTTCGTGCTCATGTGAAGCATGAGCTAACCAACTCGGGCTTGCTGGACACGGCACTTATGAGTAAATCCGACATTGATGCTTATTTTTCCAAGTTCAA